AAAAAAAAAAAAAAAAAAAAAAACCAAAAACAAACCCAAAAAACCCTTAGACTTTTGCCAATCTAATAGATGAAGTGCTTTATAATACAAACTAAATAAGATATAAATTTCAGAATGGTTTAAATTTGAAAAGCCCAAAAATATAAATTATCTTAGTAACAGATAAAAGAGAAAAAATGAAATAGAAAAGGGAAGAATCAACAATAAATGCTAAGAAAACACACAATGAAATTCAATAGCCAGTCATACCAAATATTCTTAGCATAGAGAAAGGAATGTCCTCTGTTGGTGAAATCTCAGGAACTCTCCATCCAAATCAGACAACACAGAGGCCGCTTATCACCAGTACTACACAACATTGCACTTGAAATCAGCCACTACCACCCCAAAAAAAGATATCAGATGAAAGAAATGCAAAACTTTCACGAGGAAATTTACAACTTTTTGAATGCTGAAACACCCAATGGAATGGGCACTCCATACCCAAACTATAGCATGCAGATTCCTGACCAAGGGATTCCATTACCATAAGTGTGCTGGATCGCTCCAACTAAATCTGCAGATCTGGTGTGATTCCCATCAATATCAGATTTTCACGTAATTGACGAGACGATTCCACGGGCTCTTATGGAATGTGGGGGCTGAGACTGTCAAGACCGTTTTGAGTGAGAAAATCTTGTCCCACCAAGCTCTACCACTCACCATAAACCACACTGATTAAAACAAGGAGCACAGTGACTGAGAAAAGGACCAGCAGATCAACAGCACAAGATAAAGTCCAGAAGTAAATCGGTACCTGTACAGTGACATGGCTCATAACATAAGGATCATTTTTTAAAATGGGAAATGATGCACGACTTAAAAGACATCATGAAATTAGATCAAAGGTCCGAGTACTAATGATAATGGCAAACATACAGCATGAGACAGAAGTCAGCACCATTCAAAGGGCTATGCACTCAACTCTTTTCACCCTTGTGATCTCACAATAGGCCCATTTCCCAAGTGAGAGACACAGACAAGTCAAATAACTCCCTGAGCATAGAAAGCTAGGGAACAGGGCCCCAGGATCCCAACTGAGAGGAACCCCATTGAATTCTTAACTCTGGTGCCATGCTCCATCTAACACGGCAAAATGAAGAGGAGAAAAGCAAACAATAAAGTCTATTTTATAGAACAAAATAATAATTTTATGCAAAATTTAACCTTACAAATTAAGAGACCTGTGCTGGCACAGAAGAAAATATTTTAACATACAAAAGTACAAGGTTTTAGTAATCAAGATGTTTAAATTAAACTATAAATCAAGAACTAGAAAACAAGAAAATAATAAAAAAAGAGGACTCCTTCATAGCTAGTAGTCCTTCACAGATCTACTTAACTGCAATACTTAGAAAGGGAAACAATATCGAGGAAGTACTGTTCATGCCCACTCAGAAAGGAAAAACTGATGCCAGCAAGGCAGAAATCAGGGGAGCTGGGCCCCAGGGAGGTGCACGCATTCAATAAACACTGAGTGTCATTCAGATCTGGTACCAGGAGCCATCAGAGGCCAGTGAGCTCCAGATTGCGGGAGAAGCCCCGTCACCTCTGCCGGAGGAATGCACACAATTCCTTGTAGAAGACTATTTTGGAGTCATAACGAGGGGCTCAAAGGTACCACTGCGTGTGTGGGCTCACTTTCACATAGCCCTAACCGCAGTCTCCAAAAGCTGCTCAGCCTCAACATTTTTGCTGTGAGAAAAACCATCAATTTTCCCTGCAGAGTAATTCATTATACACTCCTTCCAGCTCCCTAGAGATCTTTAGTAGTTCTTAAAATCTAGGTAATCTTCTCTCAGGCCAGATTAATGCCTTCCTCTGAGAGTAGATTCATACCATAGAGTCAGTGCTTTCTGAGTTAATCAGTCCACAGCAGAAAAAAAAAAAAAAAGAAAGAAAATGTAGGAGGAAAACATTGGTTGTAACTATTCCATGCTGTCCTTGATATCTTTTTCTGTTTGTCCAGGTTTATCTATTTGATTTTGTGGCAATTATTATGCTTGTAAATTAGTACAATGGAAATTGAACAGTAGATCACTGGTGACAAATCAGTGCCAGGTAATGGAAAATTACATGCAAATATTTATTTTGAATCTAGGTGCTTTTCTAGAGCAACAAGATGCTGAAACTCAATACTGACTTGGGGACCTACTGAGACTATGAAAAAAGAACAGAATAATAGAGTTCTAAGTATTGTGGAAACAATCACCCTTTGGGGACGCAAAACAAAGCCATATTAAGTGCCCATCTTGCATTGCTTAGTTTTAGGCAACAAAGACAAACCAAGGTGGCCCGAGGACCATGCTGCCCGCAGGGAGCCATAGGAAGAGCTGAGGAAGAACCCTTTCTAGTGAAAAGATCTGCCTGACTCTAGCTATTCCAGGAAAGAGCAGATATGACCCAAAACTGGCATTGTGAGCACACAGACAATATATTTAGTAAATATTTTTGGAGTAAAAGCCTCTGTTATTATAGTGGAACCAGATAAGCATATGAGCAGCATGTAATCTAAATTTTAGCAACATGACATCCTTTATTTTCTTATATCTAAAACTATATAATACCTAGTTTGGTTTATGAATGCATGGATTTATGTCAACCCCATAGTTTTCTACAGGCTGGGGAGCAAAGGCTCAGCTGAGGTGTTTGAAAGCAAGATGTCACGTGGACAGTTCCGAGAAGCCTGGCTGGAGTGTAAGTGGGGGGCAGGAGGACACAAAGTGTGAAGGGCCATGGCTGAGCCTTGAGGCACTCTGGGTCTGCCCCTCAGGTAGAAGAGGAGCTAACGGAAAAGATAAACAAAAGTGTCAGAGCTGTGGGCGGGAAACTAGGAGCATGTGTATCATGGGCGCCAAAGCACAAAAGTGTTTCAAACAGGAAGTGGTCAGCTTTATTGATGATCCTGAGAGGTGGTGTGATTTTAGCACTCTCAGAGTACATTTGATTATGTGGCATGAAAATAATCCATAACTTTAGCAAAGATCGTTCCCACAGAGTGGTTGAAACAGAAGCTAGTTCTGAGGGGTTGTGGAAGGAATAGCAGCCAGAAAGTTAGGAAGGAAACTAGAAGCAACTCAGGCCAGAAGTATAAGAGTTGAGGGAGGAGAGGGTGGTGCTGGGAAAGTGTGTAGCTGGAGTAGGATGACTGCTTGGTTTGGCATAATAAAACATGTGAGGGCACGTACAAGTGAAGAAACTGAAATAAAATCAGAAAGGTAGGAAATGATATTCTTGTGAAAAACCTGAGAGGAGAGAATGTAAAGGACATGTGTAATGGTTGGCCTCTGTTAAAAGAAGGAAACAGTTAGTTGGCTGAATGAAGTTTCTGTCTACCAGTCTCCATCTTTCTAGTGAAACTGAAAACAAGAGTATTAGCTGAGAACAGAGAGGTAGAGACTTGAGAATAGAATGAACTTAAAAAGAGATTTTCTAGAAATGTGGAGACCAAGTTACTGAGCAGTTTGGGGCCCTAGGAGAGCTCACTGGCCATTATAGTGGTCACACATGCCTCTGTGTTCCAGAGTTGAGATTTGCTGTGAATTTGCAAGAGAGTAATTGAAATGATGGATCTTAGATTCTATCAGTAATACAAAGAAAATAGAAGATATAAAAGAATCACCGATGGATGGATAGGTGCTTGGATTCGTGAACCATGAGAGGTGGAAGGACAAGCCAGCTAACAGCACCTGCTGAAGAAGGGTTGTAGTGGGATAACTAACAGCAGTTGGAAGAAAGGGCAGTGGAGTGAGACGCTAGATGCCTGATGCAGTACTGACCGATGCGGGACTTCACAAGGACCACAGGATGACAACAGATGGATGAGACAGAGTGGGTGATTCCCTGGAGGGCCTAATAGCCAATGCAAATAACTATTAAAGTTTATCTAACTGGTGGATGGAGTTGGACTGGAAAGAGAGCTGGCAATCCTGTAACCAAGCCATTAGTGACGCAGGAGCAGTGACTGAGAAAGCAGGTACAGGCTGCCACAGGGATGTAATGAATGCTTCAGAAAGTGAAGGAGCAGCACCCCAAAGGTGCAGTGGGGAGGACCCTGACCCATGCTCACACCTGGAGCTACTTGGGTATAAATGGCCCACTGGAGAGACAAGCAAAGAAGCTTTGCACTTGGAAGAGGGGTGAGATCCCACTGAGGCTGGATGGGAGGAGCCTCCTAATAGAATCTGAGTGCACAGGGAGAAGTTTTCTTTCGTGGAGCAGCTGCTCCACTGTGCATGGTGCACGGGTTTGACAAACACAGACAGATACTGGCTGGGATCGCAGTCTCTCTGACAGAAGTTTGGTTTCGAGTTTTTTTGTTGTTATTGTTTCATATTTCTGCTCCCAAGATCAAGAATGCATGCAACACCGGACCATACTTAAAAAGTGTTTAATGCTTATTGACCATTGGATTGCTCAGTCTTCTGCTGCCTCTACATTCTAGTGTGGCATTCTGAATACTAGCGTTCATTATGCAACAAATTCGAGGAAGACCCAAAAGGGTACAAGAGATTGATTTGTACCTGTGTTTTTATCCGTACACATCTGATGATTAGATCTCAGTCATGAGCTTGTCTTGGTATCATTTGCTTCTTTTTTCCTAAAAATGAAGCAGTAGATGTGTTCTGGTTAATTAGTGCTTTGAATGCTGTCTTCAGGGGGCACAGTCACAAAGTCTCATGTATACTTCTTAAAGTCACCTAAATATTATAGAAGAAAACAATGTCACATGGCCCATTAATTTACTGTCATTAAATAAACTGTCTTTCATCCTTTTTTTCCATTTCTCCTGGTAAATTTGAGCTCCACAAGCCTGAATTTTGCTTATAATGCTAGTGAATGAAATTCCATCCTGACTCTGAAAATTCAAATAGTCACAATCACATGAATCATCCCAAGAAAGGAGTTAAAAGAACTCCCTCTTCCCTTAAAATTCTGATAAGAGAAATACAAGTTTTAAGGATAGTAGTCTTGTTTTCCTATGCAATATAGAGATTTATGTGATTATTTATAACTGTTTCTCCCACTCTTTCTTGATAATATCAGATCTTGGAAATTTCATCCCAAAAAAGGGGTCTTATAAGATTATGAAAATTCTGAACACAAAAATAACCCCCAAAAGAAATCTGTAATTCTGATTGGTTGTCTTAGTAGATAATTTGTTATTCTAGCAATATGAAGTAATTGGCAACTCTGTGTAACTATTATAAATCTTTGAAGAGCTGGGCAGGGTGGTGCACACCTGTACCCAGCAGTCTGGAGGCTGAGGCAGGAGGAGCATTGTGAGTTTGAGGACAGTCTGGGGCACATAGTGAGTTCAAGGCCAGCCTGGACTACATAGTGAGATCTTGTGGCCAAAAAAGGAAAAAAAAAATCTTTGAAGAGTTCTGAAATTAAGGTTTACTAACAGGTTCCTCTTTTTTCATCTGCTTAAAGAATGACTGAAATTCTGATTCTGTGAGCTTTCTTATTGAACAAAATTCAGTATTGCTTACTATAGTTATTGAATTCATGCTCCCACTGAAAACAACAAAACTGGACAAACTACACAACAGAATTATTTTCTCTTTTTTGTTTATTTGTTTGTTTGTTTTTTGGTGCTGGGAATTGAACTCAGGACCTTGCTCTTACAAGGCAGGCATGGTGCCACTGAGCTAAATCCCCAGCCCTATTTTCTCAGCAGGAAAATAAATGAAATCGGAGGTCATCATTTTTTAAAAAATAAGCCAGTCTCAGAAAGTAAAATGTCAGACTTTTCTCTCATCTAGGGAACCTGGGGAGAAAAGAAAAAGGCAGATGACTGGAAAGTAGAAGGAAGATAGAGAAGAGCAAGGGGCTGGGAGAGGGAGCAGAGAGAGAGAAATAAAGGATGGATCAGAGGTGTCACATACATATACAGGATGCCAAACACAAAGCCCTTTACTCTGTAGAATTAATATGCAATAGTGAAGTTTTAAAAAATGATTTTCAAGCACTGAATGTGGAACATTGCATAGCTATAAACCTCGAGAGGAAGAAAGCAAAGGAGGTAAACCCCACATTTGTTCAGTTTCTCTCTCTAAAGATATTTTAAAAACTCTCTCCAGTGAGAAAGCCAAAGGAGAGAGGGCATCGGATATAAGAGTTAGGAGATACTGGCTGGGTGTTGCAATTCCAGCCCTTGAGGGGCTGAAGCAGGAGGATTGCCATGAGTTTGAGGCCAGACTGGGCTACATATTGAGTTAAACGCCAGCCTGAACTGCATAGCAAGATTTTGTCTCCAAAAAAAAAAAAAAAAAGAATTAGGAAAAACTATGTTCAGAATGGTGGGACCTGCCTTTAATTCCAGCACTTTTAATTTCAGCAAGAGGGTTGCAAGTTTAAGCCCCGCATGAGAAATTGAGTGACTTTGTGAGACCCTGCATCAAAATAAAAAATTAAAGTAGAGCTGTGTATATAACTGAGTGTGAAGGCCCTGGACTCAATCCCCAGTACCACCCACTCTCCGCACACACAAAAGCATTAGGTACTAATACTGAAGAGATCCAGAGGAGAGCAGAGGAGAGAGTAACAGAAACTGGGAATAATATACACACTTTCTTTTAGCCAAATCCCAAGTTGTGCAACTAACTGCAGGTTCATATTGTGGGAAGTCAAAGAATAAAAATCTCTGAAGAGGCTGAAAATTGAGAGTTATATGGGATAACATATTATTAGAAAATATTGTAAGACCTTGGTGAATGTCCCAACCTTTTAATTGAGACCCCAGAAAACCTCACCCTTGGGTAAAAACCACTGCTAGAAATGACAAGCCAGTCATCACAGGGCTAACACCAACCATGAAGGTTCCTATTGCCTCCAGTAATCTAACAGAACTCAGAACCTCTACAATCTATTATCTACATTAAAAAAAAAACCAAAAACAAAACACCAGACACTTAAAGAGACAAAAGTATATTAAAAAAACCAAGATTTTAAAAATGGTCAGTGGAAGAAGATCCAGAGATTATCATTACTGACCTGCTAAAAAAACTAAATATCCACATAAGGGGTGTGAAGATGAGGAATTTTAACAAAGAATAATAATAATATAAAAAAAAAACAGCAGCTAGACATGGTGGTGCATATAGTCCCAGTACTTGGGAGGCTGAAGCAGGAGGATTGCCTCCTGAACTACACAGCAAGGCCCTGTCTCATAGAAAATTTTTAATAAAAAAAATCAATCAAGGTGTAGGGAATGGGCAGAAACCTAAGATGGAAAGTAGATGGTGATACATGACGGTGATTAGTGAGCAAAATGAAATTATCCATATAACCACATTGAAAGTGTAGATAATCCTGCAATAGTGGATTGAGCAAAAAAAAAAAAAAGTAATGTATTATAGATAAGGAAAATCTCTCAAGGTTCTTACTATCAAAGAATAAAGTTATGAATAAGAACAAGAGGAAGGTTAGGATGAATCTTGTGTTGGACTGGAGTCAGAAAATTTAAGACTTAATATAGGTGTGTCAGGCCGGGTGTGGTGGCACACTCCTGTAATCCCAGCACTCGGGAGGCTGAGGCAGGAGGATCACTGTGAGTTCAAAACCAGCCTGGGCTACATAGTGAGTTCCAGGTCAGTGTCAACTACATAGTGAGACCCTGCCTCAAAAAAAAAAAAGTGTGTGTGTGAGTGTGAGTGTGTGATATGTAGGTTAGTATACACCCATTTATTTTCTAGTTCTGGCCATGAGAGAACTTAGAAGAAGAGACATCCCAGTAGCAATGAATATACCTAATATTCACATTTTGGTTTCCAAATACCATATGCATACTAAGTTGGACCAGTAAGCTCTCTAATAAAAGGATTCATAGCTCATTAAAAAAATGGTTAGTTTAAGCTGAGACAGAGAAAACCCAAGCTGATCAAAGAGTACACTCTAATGTTAGAAAGTCTTCAGTGAGGTTTCGAACACAAGAGTGAATCCAGCAGAGTTCCCCATGACCAAAACCATTGGAGCAATGACGCAATACTGGAACTCCCTGGATTAGGCACATTCCACTTGGAAACTTTCACAGGTGCAAACTGATCTCACACTAGGAACATTGGTAAATGCGAACAAATCCCAGATGTAGCTCACACGTCCGCTGGCCACTGTCAGGGTCGCACTGCTTCCTACACAGTGGAACAGGGCCAGTAGGACAATGCTCAAACAAGACAGAAAGCAGTGGTGAAGTGAGCACAAAGCAATATACATTGTATATTTGCATCAAAAGTGTGTAAGACTCACTTTGTCCAACTTATGAATGAATTCAGTTTACGAACATTCTCCTGGAACAGAACTCACTTGTAAATCTCACACCTATTATATTGGATTATAAACTAGAGAATAAACTCAGAGCTGGACCTGAAGTCACAGATCTGTAACCTCAGTACTCTGGGAGGCTGAAGCAAGATGCTCACAAGTTGGAGCCCAGTCTGGGCAACTTCATGACTCAGCAAGACCCCCCCTCTTCAAAACAATAAATGAGTAAGTAAACAAATGAATGAACAAACAAAGGCTAACAATGTAGCTTGGTGTGCAGGCCCTAGGTTCATTTCCCAGTACCATAGAAAAAAGAAAAGCTGGGCATGGTGGCGCATGCCTGCAATCCCAGCACTCGGGAGGCTGAGGCAGGAGGATCACTGTATGTTCGAGACCAGCCTGGGCTACATGGTGAGTTCCAGATCTGTCTCAACTACATAGTGAGACCCTGCCTCAAAACCCCCCCACAAAAAAGAAAGAAACATAAATATCACTGGTTTGGTACTGATGTAAATAATAACTGAATAGAGAGACAGAGAAATGTTCTTCCAACTATGTATATGCAATAAGAAAAATACAAAATCACTATTATAACACAGTAATTATTCCTGCAAGCAACGTTCTCTACCGAATGCTAAAACGCATAGGTGAAAGTTTAAGGAAAAACAGTATTTGTAGTCTTCAAATATCTCTTTCCCCAAAGAAATATTTGTTAGCTAAAGTAATTTTGTAGTGCAGAAATCTGAAGAATACGCTTTCACCCAGTGACCCAGGTTAACCTCCCCAGAGATAAGACACTTCACCCTGGGACAGAACGCCACCTCGATGATCTGATACAACACCAGGAAAGTTCAAGAGCAAAGGCGCTTCACAAGTAACTTACCAGGCTTCTTAAAGTCTCAAGATCATAAAAGAAAAGTCTGAAGAACTGTCACAGATAAGAGAAATTAAGGAGACCTGACACTTAAATGTAATGTGGGATTTTAGATTAGATCCTGACACAGAAAAGGAACTACAGGGACAAAACTTATGAAATACTAATAAAGTATGTAGTTAATTAATAATGCAGTAACAGTGCTAATTTACTAATTGTATTACAAAGTTACATCAATTTTTGTTTTGTTCTTTGAGACAGGGTCTCAGTCTGCAGTTTGGGCTGGGCATGAACTCATTATATATACCAGATTGGCCTTGAACTCAAGGCAATCCTCCTGCTTCAGCCTCCCAAGTGCTGAAACTAGGAGTGTGACCACCATACCTGGCTAGTTACATAAAATATTAACATCAAAAGATGTTGGGTAAAGAATATTCAACACATATTTTCAATGAGCGAAT